CCCCCCCCCCCCCCCCCGGGGGAGGTGATCAACAAGCAGGCCAATCATATTATGTCAGAGGCAGTCCCTCTTCCCATTGCTATGTAACCCACTTGGACACTGAACTGCCATGGGCTACACCTGTGCAGGGGTTCCAGGTCATCTCCACGAATAGTCCTTGGTTGGAGTATGAGTCTCTGGGAAGTTCCCTGTGTTCAAATTATCTTGTTCTGTTGCTCTCCTTGTGGAGTTCCCGTCCCCTCCAGCTCTTACTATTACCAACTTCTTGCATAAAATTCCATTCACTCTGCCCATCAGTTGGCCATCTTGTGTCTTCTAAGCAACGTTTGTATGTGAGAGCGACTTTTGTATATTAAGTTTATAGTCTGCTCCATGAAAATTGTTTTTGCATTGGTTTTCTGAAGAGTTTCATATATATATATGAAATATATAATGTATATATATAATATATATACATATATACATATATATACATATATATGTGTATATATTATATATGTATACATATATATACACACATACATATATATGTATATATATTATATATATGTATGTATACGTATACATATATATACATATATATAATATATACATATATATGTATATATACACATATATACATATATAATATATAATATATACATATATATTATATATATATTACACGAAATGATATATATATGTATGATACATACATATATATTATTTATCATGTCCAAACAAATACAGCATTGCCTCCTTCCAATTCCTGCAATTTTGTTTGTTCTCTCATCTGCCAGCTTTGGTTAATAATTGCAATATAATGTTAAAGAGTATTATGGGCCACCTGTCATCCCGTAGTTCTGAGATTGAAAGAAAAGACAGCAGTAGTTTATCATTAAATGTATTTATATTTATAAACATATTTATAGAGTCTTTTACATTAACCCACAGTTTCATACTTTAAAAGCTCTTCATTTTCTATAATAAATTTGAACAAACTGAAAATTTTACCCAAAAGAAAATTCAGGTCATTTTTTCTAGCCTGAAGAATTTCATTCTGGGACTGACAAGATGGCTCAGTGGTAAGTAGGACTTTATGCTTTTTCAGAAGACTGGAGTTCTGTTCTTCACATCCATATCAGAAGGTTTGCAACTTGCTTGAAATTCCAGCTCCAGGGAACTTACTGGCCTTTTCTTGCTTGAAACTCCAGCTCCAGGGAACTTACTGCCCTTTTCTTGCTTGAAACTCCAGCTCCAGGGAACTTTCTGCCCTTTCCTGGCCACTATAGGCAACTGCACGCACATGCACATACTCATGCTCACTTAGACATGCATATACAGAAATAAAAACAAAACAAACCTTTCATAAAAAGCATAGAATTCCATATTCCATGTACTATATGTCTACTAGCAAAGAATTTTCTCATTTAGTATTTACCAATTCATTCTGAGGGTTTTTTCCTTTTTTGTTAGGTGTAAAATCATTGATTAACAACTGTTTCTTTCTAGTCTGTGAATGCAGCATCCTATTATTTTTTTGGCTTTCATTGTTCAGATGGGAAGTCAGCCATCATCTGTCATACATTGATGAATCACTTTAGCTATTGCTTCAAGACTTTGTTTTGAATTTTAACCAGCTTGACAATGAGGTGTCTGGACTTGGATATTTTCTTCTTTAAACTTCTTGGTGTTTGGTAAGCTTCCTGAGCATGCTAATGAAGATCTTATAACTTGAGAAGCTTTTGGATTGTTTTCAGTAGTTTTTACCTTAACATTTGCCCTCTCTTTCTGTGCTTACCAATCCATGTCAGTTGATAATAACTATTGTTTTCTAGGTCTCTGAAATTTATTCCAATTCTTTTTTATTTTCTCTATTCTTCAGGAAGGATTGTTTTTGTTACTCAATTGAAATGATCAGTGATTTTTACCTTCTGCTCTCTCACATTATCATTGAATGCTTTTTGTAATTATTTTACAGTTTTATCTCAACATTATAGAATATCTGCTGGAAACTTTATATAACTTTTATCTTTTGAAAATTGCTTTTGTGTAATCTATTACCATTTTTACTTTAATTATTTAAATATTCTTTTGTTTGGTTCATTAAGCACACTATTTGCTAACTCCCTTGAGGACTTTGGGTATGAAACCCAACACCTATGAATATTCAGAAATGTATTCATTGATTTTTGTTTTTCCTGAACATGGGTCGCATATTTCCAATAATCTGAAAAGCTCATAGTATTTTGTTGTCATTTAAAATTGATCACTTATAATAAAATTACTTAATAGTTTTATATAAATGATTATACTGTTTAGGAAAATTATATTTTGCTTAAGAGTAATGCCATATAAAATGCTTATTTTATTTAGTTGTCTTCTATATCAATTATTTTTAATAGCTGAATTAAGGTATTGAGTATCATCAGCTGCAGAATTAAAAATAAGATCTAGTGCACTTCTCTAATATTAGCCTACTTTCACTTAATTTCTTTTTTGCATATACATCTAAAAGGAAAACATTTTGATTTATTTATATACATTAAGGAAATGTAGAATCTACTGAGGATGTAGGGTGCTGTAAGGGATATATCTGAATAAGAGGGCATTTCTATTTCACATTTTAAAAATCGGATTTTAATTTTAGTTATTTTATGTATATGCATGTGTGAGTGCATGAATATGTTTATGTGTATATGTGTGTACACACAAATGTGCCACAGTTTACAAGTAAAGGTCAGAGGAAACCTTTCTAGACTTGCTTCTCTCTTTCTATCACTTGGAACCAAGGAATCAAACTGAATCATCAAGCTTGGCAACAAATGCCTTTCCCATGGAGCCATTTCCCTCTCCCCTTCATTATACATTTTTTTAACAAATAAAATACATGTCTCAATAAAATGTATGTCCACTGACACCTACTTTTATTATTTCTAGGGTATAAAAGTGTATAAAACAAGAAATACTTGTTTATCACCCAAGTTTAACCAAGGTCTTTTGAGGGAATCAGCACCCCAGTTGAAATGCAAATACTCTTTTGTTGTTGTTGTTCCGCTTGGACCATTTTCAGTAAAATCAAGTTTACCTTGTAAAAAGTTTGTATATGGCCATGGAAATTGTGACTACTCGAAATGTGGTGTGTCCAGTCTATGTGACAACAGATTTCATATGAAATTTCTAGAACTAGAGCAACTTCTGAACATACTCTCTACCAGAAGGGTCTGTGCCAAAAAGGATATCCTCCATCAACACCAAAGGAAACAAACTATGACAGTACGTGGCAGGGGAGACCTTCAGACACCTACTGCAATGGACAAAGAGTACAGCCAGCATTCTGTTTCCTGGGATCAGGTACTAACACTTTTATTTTTAATGTTATCCTTCTATTTTGCTGAAGAAAGCTGAAAGTTCTATCAGAATTATCAGACTTGTGGAGATAATTGTGGATTTTCTCAAAGTATTCTATCTCTGTGGTATGTTTATAATTTTCTTTTTCTGTAAGTGGACTTCTACACACATAGAAACAGCTCCAAAATATTTAGGGCTTCTTTTAGGTCCATACTAAATATATGAATAAGGAATTTAGGAAAGCTACACTAAGCATTTAGTATGGGCCAGTACTATCTTGACATGAAGAATGCCACATCAGGTAAAGACAGGCCTCGACCTCAAGAATCATACAGATAAGTGGAGTTAAACACAAGTAGCAATAATGATAAGCAGGAACTTTAAATTTAATGTAGAGTAGGAAGAGATTCCTTTGTACTTTGACTAACAGAAGTATTTGTGTAATAGATTGTCCTTTCAAATAGTCCTGGGGATTAAACCTGGTCTTATGTAAGCACACTCTCATTGAACTATATCCTTAGCCATTTAAAATTTCTATTTCTTTTTTTAAACATGTGTGTGCATGCATGTTTGTGTTTGCACATGTGTACCATGTATGTAGAGGCCAGAGGGGGTAGTGGAGTCTTTCTGATTTCTACCTTCTATATTGAGGCGGGGTCTTCCCCTTGAATCCAGAGCTCACCAATTCTGCTAGTCTAGCAAGCCAGCTCGATCTAGGACTCCCTTGTCTGTACTTGCAGGACACCGCGGGAATAGGCAGGCTGCCAGACCTGCTCAGGTTTTGCATGTGTTCTGGGGATCCAAACTCAGATCCTTCCATTTCCCTGATAATCATTTAACATGTTGGGCTGTCTCCCCAACCCCTAACTTTCATCTTGAGACAGAGTCTCTCTAATTTCCCAGTCTGGTCTGAATTCTCTGTCTAGCCCTGAAAAGCCTTGCATTTGCAAGGTTCCTGCCTCTGCCTCTGCAGTAGCTGGGATCAAAAGCTTTGCTGCTCTTTGTAGTGACATTCTATGGTCGTCTCAGAAGCAAATGCATTCTTCAGACACATAGTTCACTGTCTCCCAATAGTCTTGACAAGCCCATTAGAAAACAAAGTCCCCTAATCTCAAGAAACCCAGCATTGTTCAAGCTTCTATGGTAGAATCCTTTTCTGCATAGTTGATTAAAATGTTCAGAAGTTGGTGTTCCACGGTAATGGCTCACACTTCTTTTCTCTGAGTTGGGCATGGTGATATATTATCTCATTCATATGAAAGCTACTGTGTAAGGCATAGAGCTAGTAAGCGCCTAATTTTGCAGACACAGAATGTGTGCATAGCTTGGTCATCAGCATACTCTTTGTTCTTTATTATTGTTTAGGGAATGCTGTTCAAATAAGTTAATGATTTTATTTGTATCTTTACTAAGCAACCTATTGTGGAACAGTATACACACACCGCTGGTGCCTGACTATGCACATGTACATGAGTGCGCCCCCTCCCGTACCCCACACGTGCGTGCATGCACACACGTGCACACGCTTGATGTCAGAGGACAACCTGAAGGATTCGCTATTCAGTTCCCCCCTCCCATCGTGTGGGTCTCAGGAATTGAACTTAGACCTTCAGCTTTGGTGGGAAGCACCTTTACTCACTGAGCTCCTTGGTCAGCTCCACAACTGGTATTTTAAAACACAAAAGCTTTTAGATGTCCCTGACATTCCTGGAAGTTGCACTAACAGATAAAGAATGCATTCTTGTGGTGCAGCACACATTCTTGCCGTTATGTCCTTGAAAAAATAATTTTCTGGGCGATGGATGTCTCTCAGCCACAGATCACTTACTTATATGTGTGAGGCCCGGGATTCAATCACCATCACCCCTCCCCCGAAACACACATACTCACCTTAATTTCTATTACCTCTGCTATGTATAAAACATACCTATTAGACTCGACTCTTTCAAAACATGTCTATGGTATTTACCCAAAGGTGACAAGCATTTACCTCCAATTTAATTTTTTCTCATCCGCATTGAATGAAAATGGCACCTAGAGGCTCATAGGGAGTGCATTAGTAGGAAGCCTGGCCTTGTTGGAGGAATTGTGTCACTGGGGAGGGTGGGCTTTGAGGCTTCAAGCCTAGTATCACTCTTTCTGCTGTTTTTGGATCTGGCTGTAGAATGCTCAGCTACCCCGCAGCACCATTTCTCTCTGTCTGTGTGTCACTATGCTTCCCTCTATGATAATGGACTAAACCTCTGAAATTGTAAACCAGCCTCTATTAATTCCTTTATAAGAGTTGCCATGGTCATGGTGTCTCTTCATAGCGATGGAACATTGGCTAAGGCACCATTAAAAGCTACTTCAGTATCATTGTAACACAGCAGTGTTCCTCCACCAGGACAACTGCCACCTTCGCAAGACCAGATGTATTTCCTTACAAAAGGTCATCAAAGCTGTTGATCATTACTGTTGGCATTCTCACATAGAAAGAGCGTGTGGAGAGTCATTGGGTCCTCACCTGAGTCTCCAGCCATTCCTCCCTGATATTTGTATGCAATGTCGCCCTAACTGGATGTGTTCTGCAAGCTTTTGGGAAGGGGCTAGAACACATAGGTGGGACAGGTTAGGAAAGAGGGCTTCATTTACGTATGTGTGGGACAGCCATCATCCAGGCTGGGTACAGACTTACCTGGAAGTTGCTTTTGTGTCAAGCACCTTCTTGCCCAGGAGCTTCATGAATGTTCCACAAGTAATCCCAACTAGACCTGTTGGTTGGTCCCCCACAAGGACCTATAGTAGACTAGAACTTTGGTTTGTCAATAGGACTTTAGAAGGAGGGGGAAGGACATTGCTTAGTCTTTCTACCTCAGGGAGAATAATTCTCAAAACAATTTTTTAGAAAAGAATATATTTACCCTATGGAAACTCCATTTTCATATAGAACAAAGGCTCTTAACATTTAAAGATTACTGAAAGCTCACATTTTTAAAGAACATTAATAATCATGGTCTCTAATGACTATGCAAAAAAATATTTATAATTATTCTTCTGTGTCTAAACATAACAGTTTTCTTTTTGTGTGTGATTCTTGATGTGCAGCAGGTCCGAGGACCCTTTCTGTGCTACCAATAACACAGAAAGTTCTCCAAGTCTCAGCCCAGATCAGAGCATCAGTGTCACATGTCGCCAGGTGTGGGCTGGGATTCTGGCACTTGTGGTCACACTCGTGATCCCAGCACTCAGGAGGTGGGGGCACGAGGACTGAGGGCTGCCGACAAGCCTAGACTATGTAAGGAAACCTCATTTAAAAAAAATATTAGTACCTAGGATCTAGTGAATGAGAAGCGCTGAGAGTAGCTCTCTTGGCGGTATCTTTTAATAAGAATGGTTCTCAAAAACAAAGACTAGCCATGACTGCTTTGTAATACATTTGAAATTTTCCTTAGATGTCCATGCAAATGTAAGAATATATGGAATTTTTATGTGAAAAAAGAAAGGCATTCTAAGGATGATTTACCAGCTAAATTGCCATTCTCTTTTTCTTCTTTATGAAGATATTTATATTTAAAATTATACAGCTATTAATTACTCAGCATTAAAGCATTTATGTTTATGGTTTCAGGAGAAATTTAAAATAACAAGTGAAGCTGGGATCTCGGAAGCTTAGACTAACCTACCCTTCCTCTTTGAGGAGGTTTTTCTAACACTAGAAGCTCTTCCGTCTCTTGACAGCGTGTTGGAGAAAGCTGCATGACATTTGGTTCTTCTTGACCCTTTCACTAACAGTAGATTTTCAGATGAGATCCTCATTATAGAGGAGCCATATTGAAAAGCGTGTTCTTAACGTCCCTGTGCTTCCATTGGTAGTTTCAGTGCCGAGGCGATTCTCGTTTTATCAGTGACAAATGGTACAAAGAATAACGCTCTGGGTTTAAGGGTGTGTTGAAGCTTTTCAGAAAAGAAAGCTTTCATAATTCCTTGCCTCTGTGTTACTGTTGCTGCTTATCTTGCTTCTTCTTTACAGCTGGGGACCCGCTGCGGTGGTTCGAAGGACAGTGACTCCCAGGGGCTCAAATGTTCGGGTTCTTGATCCTGAGTTGGTAGAACTATTTGGGGATGATAAGGAGGTGTGGCCTTGTTGGAGGAGGTGTACCACTGGAGGTGGGCACGCGCACTCGATGTACAAGTGCACCCATACACATACATGTGTCCACACATTTGAACACAAATGCATACACATATGTATATGTATGATATATGTCTGAATATCACACATACATATGAACCTCATGAACTTTGTAAGTTGCAAATTTTTATGCATACAACCCTACTTTTTACTTTTAAAAGGTTAAAGTACCTTAGGCTGATTTTAAAGGCTTGTTGCATATATTTTAGAAGTTTTCTTTAAGTATGCCTATGTAACATGAAAAAACATAATAAAACTGTGGAGAAACTAGGCAAAGTCAGTCAAAAATAACAATTACTTTCACTTTTTTTGTAGAGAATGTTAACAGAGTCAGGTCATTCTATTATTTAATATTTATACTGGCTACCTGACATAGCATTCCCTTCTAAATTTAATCTTTCATTTCTTTTGAAAAACACGTGCCTGACTCAGGCTTGTTAAATGGGATAGTACCAAAGCTAACAATTTTGGGACTACAGGGCTCCTTGTTAGCATATGAAGTCCCAGATTTGTGCATACAAAGCTTCCTCCATTGAAAAACTGGGGCAAACAAAACCATAAAAACTTCTGAGGAGTCACTAGAATCCCGAATGGCACATTGTAAATGAGTTTCTCTTTGCCAGGAAAAGATACCTGCCGGACGATGAAATTATTCTCAGAATAAAAGAGAGGTATACAGACTTTTCAATAAGCCTTGAAAGATAGGAAAGGGTTAATGATGCCAAGGTAGTAGGAACTCACAATGAGGTAGCCATGAACCTGTGGCAGGCCTGTGCAGTTCTGACTTCCTGAGCGAGCGGCTGTTGTATATGAGTGAAGGCTGAGTTTTACAACTCCCTGTTTTCTTCATACAGGCTTGCTTCTCCGCTAGGCAGTTGGCGGAGATATTTCTACAGAACCATAGTACTCCGTTCATTTCTAAGGAGGACTTTAAGCAGCTGAGCCCAGGGATCATCCAGCAACTACTCAGCTGCTCTTGCCAAATGCCCAAGGACCAGCAAGCAAAACCCCTACCCACCACTCTGGAGAGTAAGCCTGAGCCCCTCACCCCGGTACACCGTGCATGTAACGGTAGGAAATGTAGAATACTTTCTGCGTCGCAGGAACTGTCCTGAGCATTGTACCTCTGCCACCTTATTCCAGCCTCCATATAGTGGGGAGGGACACTTGCTGTCATCCCCACTGTAGAGATGAAGCAGACATGGATATGTTAAGCCACAGGCTAAAAGTTACAGGCTTGTTAACATGATGACGTTGGAAGTCAAGCCCAAGCAGGCCAGTCCCACAGTCCGTGTGTCTGTTTGTTCTGATGCTTTTCAGTGAATTGTTGCTGTTACTTTTGAGACAAAGTTTTGCTTTATTTTCCATGTGGCCTTGAACTTGTGACCCTCCTGCTTTGTTCTCCCCAATGCTAAGATCATGGAGATGTGTCAGTATATGAAATGATTTTCAAAGAATATTTAATATTTCATATATAATTTATGTAAATTGATTCTGTCTTTCATATCTGACTAAACCATGAAGCAACTTAAAGTTCTGTGATTAAGGCTTCTGAAGAAGAATCAATAAGTAAAGTGCTTCCTAGGCAAACATGGGGACCTGGATTGGATGCTAGCAACCAGGCAAAAATACTGAGTGTACTGGCATGTGCCTGTAATCTCAATTCTGGGGAAGCAGAGGCAGGAGAAGCCTATGGGCTTGCAATCTAGGCAGACTGATGCATTCTAGGTTTAGTGAGACACCCTGCTTAAACAAATAACAGAGCAATTGAGGAAGGCACTCTGTCTAGATCCCAGCTTTCACATTCTTGAATGGGTGCGTGCGCGCATGCGCACGCACGCACGCACACACACACACACACACACACACACAGAAGTGAGAAGTGACAGACACACAGAGTTGAGAGGTGACATGGTAAATAAAGAAAACATTGATCTTGAGATCAGAAATGTCATTGTCAGGCACTGTGTGATCTTGAGAAATTTCTACTTCTAGTTCTTGGAGCTGGCTCTTTTCAATTCAGTGTGAAATGGGTGATACTGTAGAGGGTTTTCAGTGATCTGCACATCCTGCACCATGAAACATAAGGAAATATTGGGGTAAATGAAGGTACATGGGCTGGTCTGTGTCAGAGGTGCCCGGTCCAGGGAGATGATTACCTTCCAGGAATAGATGGTGGGTCCAGAAAGTGAAGGGATCAACCACTACACTCTCCCAGAGCCCACTGAGGTACTGTAGTAGACAAACTTTCTCATTGATTTTATAGGGAATCTATTAGTTTCAGATTTGATATAGAGTACAAAATGTATGTAGTACACAGATGCTCTATATACTTATGGCCCCTGTCTCCTCAAAATGGTGCCTGAAAATAACCTGATGTAGTAAAAAATATACGACCTAAAGCTGGTAGCCATGTTATGATATATATGAACATATATATTTTGAACTGTATACTTGCTCTGTGTGGTCGACTGTAATGCCTGCCATTTAGAAGTTGAATTATCTATCCACTAATCTCTAAGTTACAGTTGTTTTCGTGAGTAGTAAGTAGCTCATTTGAAGGTTTAATGTGAACAAAAGCATGTTATGTCTAAATACCTAAAACCCCATAGCTATAATGAGGAAAAACTTCATTAAAGTAAGGAGCTCAGAAACTCAACATGTGGATGGGCACGTTCATATGCTCACCACCTGGCGTGGACTTTAGAAGCTCCAAAGTTATGAAACATCCATTTTTCTTTGTATCACTTTGTAGCTGTCACAGATGTGAGACACTCTAAGACTCTCACTTGTCACATGAATTTTTGAGACTTTATGGTTTCTTGTAGGTACTACTAAAAAATACTAACAACCCCCAGTTGCCTGTGTTGAAATTCTAATAACTTTATGTATTTAGGTGAGAGCAATGGCAGTCATAAATCTTGCTGGAAATAAACCTAGCTGGAAATGGATGGGCTATGAAAATCTTCAAAGATGTTTTAATAACATGGGAGTCCTTGTGTTCTTAATAAACTGGAATGAAATAAAACAGCTGTGTAGGTATATGAGCATCCCAGCCATCCTTAAAGTTGTTAAAATTAATTGTTGTAAAATATGCACATCATAAAATTTATCTTCACTCTTCCCTTTAGATACAGAGGAGGGAAGCCTGGGCCCTGTAAATTCTAAGCACACACTGTACCACTGGCCTGTGCTCTCCACTCCTTAATTATTTTTGTTTGTATAGTTCAGTGGTGCTCAGTATATTCACAAAGCTATGAAACAGCTAACTTTTCATATTTCCAAACTGACAAGACCAGCTCTGCATTGTCCCCTAGACCACTAAAAAGAGGCTCCAAGTGAAGAGGTGGCAGGGGAGGTGAGAAGATTGAGAACTGACAGTTTTTTGCCTCTTCTTGCTACACTGCCAACTCCCCTTTCCCTCGTAAAGCGAGAACTGAGAATCAACAAAGCTCTCTGCATCCCTTCTATCAGTAATATGATCTGATGTGGAGGGTGAACCTTCCAGAAAAGTGTAAGTATGGCAGGAGACGGACATTACTTACTTAAAAATGATACTTATTATTTGTTCTTTAGCATTTTCACACATGTGTACAATGTATCTTGATTATAGCTGCCTCTACTTGTCCTTTTCCATTACTCTGAGTCCTCTAACACATCCACTAACTTTCAGTTTTCTTCTTTAAGAACAACAACAACAACAAAAACAGGGAATCTAATTAGTGTCCTCCACATGCTAATGAGTGTGGAGTTATCCAGCTGAACTTGGGAAACCAACTAGCCCTGATATTGGTTGTCGCTACTGGTAGTTGATGGGTGCTGGCTGCGGGGGCGGGGGGGGCAGTCATTTTTCTTCAGGGCTGGTTGGTTAATTCCAAAGATGAGAGGAGAAAGACAACTGACCGGAATCATCATGGCAAATCATTTAAATTAAGCAATTAATTTAAGCATGCTTTTTACAAAATTCATGTACGCGGGCTGCCTCCACCTAGGTGGGTGTTAGATAGGTCAGCAGTGGATGTGAGGAAGACAAGGTTTTTATTGCTCAAGGTTTTGGGATTTCTAAATGGGGAATTTAGTGGGAAAAATAGGCAGGGTTACAGGAACAGCACATAAGTATAACAAATTGTTCACAATGGCTTTCTGAAAGAAAGACATGATTGCAGGGTGGTCATAACGACAGGTAGTTGTAACAAGGTAGCCATAACTACCATTTTGAAACAAAGGAAGTATTGCAAGATGGTTATTAACTTTTTAAAACAAAGACATGATTGTAATTTCTGGAACAGGTACCATAGAACCATTTGTAGTTAAGATTACAGATGGGGCATATCAATTGTTGAGAAACAGAAGTTTTATCATAAATGGGAATGAACCTAGTTTGTCCTAACTATGAGATGGCTTTTAAGCCCAAGTTGGAGGCAGACTGGTTCTTCAATCACCCCCACATCTCTGCAAGTGGGACCATCCATGCTAAGTGGAGAATGGAACTTGGGACTGTACCATCTTTGTGGGCACTGGGTCAAGAAACCTCCTTACCTTCCACAAGTGACCTTGTGGTTTATTTTTCTTGACATTTAAACATAGGAGAACTAGTGACTTTTTATCTTTACAATAAGAATGAATTCTACTGGCTGATGAACAGAGCTCATTGCTAAGGCCTAGCGGAATGACCTGTGAGCAAGAATATATTGTTGTGGTGGAAGATGCAAAGTTCTTCGGGCCTCTTCTCGAGGGATGTGTTCTAGTCACTGCACGATTAGGACCTAAACAGTACTCAGGAAATTCAGGTAGAGGCTGGCTCCTCATGGAAAGGCAAACAATCATCAGGTTGATTGACCACTTTCCACTCTGGCATTCCAGATGGTTTAGAAACAATTCTTATGTGACTGACAATCTTGGTTTCTCCAACGCTTATTCTACTTTGTGCTTTTTACACAAATACAAATAATTAAAAATAATAAAAATAAAATCTTAAAAGTTATTACTGGATTTAAGCATTAGAATGGCTGGAGTGTTCATTTCTTCCTTGGTTTTCTGTAGTGAGAGTTTTAGATTCTTTAAAAACCTAGTTATGGCACTCAGGGAGGCAGAGGCAGGTGGAGCTCTCTGTGAGTTCAAGGCCAGCCTGGTTTGCAAAGTGAGTCCAGGACAGCCAAGTCTACACAGAGAAACCTTGTCTTGAAAAACCACAAAACAAAACAAAAACAAAAACCTAGTTATGTTATGTGAATATGTTTTTGTTTTAATCTCAAGCGTGGGATAAGAGGCTGCTTCAGAGAAGGTACTTATGGTTTGCCTTGTGCACTAGCAGAAGTGTGATCTTTGCTAGCTGAAAATAGTTTAATTCTGAGGACTCTGGAGAGGATATAAATTGGAGAGCCCTGAGAGGGCCTGTGCTGACTGGGTTACTGTTCACCCCTGCTGCTGCCCCACACACATACACTCCTACTTCTTTCTGCTGCTTCATTTGCTGTTGTGTTTGTTATTGCTGGATTGCTAGTTTGCTGGTTTACTGGTTTGCTGGACTTCTGGATATTATGACAATTGAAGACTTGCCTTGCCCCAAGGAAACCAGTATCCCTAATCAGCACGAAGTAGCCTATAGAGGTCTACTCCCTTTCCCCTCTAACATTCTTTTTCTAATACCTAGTATTAGGGGGTTGGAAGGAATTAGGGTGGAATAAGGATTTGAAGGAAGGTAGAGATATAAGAATCTAATAAATTAGATTAAAAAATACTGATCATCCAGATTAGACCCCTTATATTCCCCTGCCTGTGAGTCCAACTGGGAGAGGAGAGCTGCTGGCTTTTCCCTGAGTTCCAGCCTCTGGCCCACAGATCTACCCACCTTCCCAAGAAAGCCTACCATAGCCCAGGAACATGTAGCCTCGAGCCCACAGCTCTACTTGCCTTACCTAGGAGGGCTGCCAGACACCAGAAACTTCCAGCATCAGCCCAAAGCACTATCTGCCTTCCTGAGGAGTCCTAGCCAACAGCTAGCCAACACCAAGGACAACCAGATGGCT